CTGAGAGGAGCTATCTTTTAGATCTGGGCTCCTGGACAGGATGCCCCAAGGGAAGTGGGATTTGATGGGAGAATTTTAAGAAATGGGGAGGGGAACCAGGAGAAGCCTTGTTTTTTTGGTCTGTCTCCTCCTCAAAGCTGTGGGCTCCTTGAGGGCATGGTCCATAGTCTAGCTTGTTCATTGCTATTTTCCTAACACCTAAAACAAAAATAACCTTTAAAAACCTGTTGCCTAGTATGTGCTCAATAAATACAGATCTAGTGACTGAATAATCTTGACAGTTCCACTTAGCCTGGGAGACAAGGATGCTCTCAGTTCCTTGTCCAGCTGGTGCAATGCCAATACAGAGGTGTGTAGTTTCCATGACAACAGAAGAGGGCCAGTCAGGGCAGCATCAGGAGATAGACACAGAGATTGTGAGCTCTGCATCTTTTCAAGGCGCAGCCTGAAAATTGGGAACATGGCGGTCAGTTTTTGCAACAGATGTTGAGGGGGAAAAATTCATAAATATGGCTAACTCAGTTGCTCACTGGACAGGTTTGTCAAATAAATCAATAAATGCCCAGGCAGGTAGTTGGATTTTTGATGGAGGGTGAAAAGCTCTCAGTAGATGGAAGGCCAGACACTCAGGAAAGTTTGGTTCTAGTCTGGGCCCTGCTGTGTGACCTCAGACAAGTTACTTAACCTCTCTGGGCCTCAGCATGTTCATTCATAAAATGAGAGGTTTAACTAGCTCTAAAATTACTTATAAAAACACCTGAGTGGTAAGAATGTAAAACGATACAGCTGATGTTTTCAACAGTTTGGCAGCTCCTCAAAAGGTTAAACATAGCATTATCATTTGCTCCAGCAACTCCACTTGTAGGTATATACCCAAGAGAATTGAAAACTGGTACTTTAAACAAATACTTGTACTTGAATATTCATAGCAGCATTATTCACAATAGTCAAAAGGCCATGAATAGATGAATAAAGAAAGGTGGTATACTCATGAAATAGGATTAGCCATATAAAGGAATGAAGTACTGATACCTTGAAAAAATTATGGGAAGTGCCCTGGCCGGTTTGGCTCAGCGGTTAGAGCACTGGCCTGTGGTCCAGAGAGACCCGGGGTTCGGTTCCTGCTAAGGGCACGTACCTCAGTTGCAATTTGTCCCAGGCCCTGGTTGGGTCGTGTGGGTGGCAGCCACTCAATATGTCCCTTTCACGTCGATGTTTCTCTCTCTCTCTCCTCCCTCCCACTCTATCCGAACAAAATATTGAAAAAATGTCCTCGGGTGAGAATAAAAAAAAAGAAAAAGAAAAAATTATGGGAAGTAAAATAAGTCTGACTCAAAAGTTCAAATATTACATGACTTAATTTGTATTAAATATCTAGAGCAGGTAAACCCATAAAGACATAATGTAGACTGGTGGTTGCCAGGGGCCAGAGGAAGGGGGGACTGGGGAATGACTGCCTAGTGAGTACACAGTTTTCTTTGGAGGTAAAAAAAAATGTTTTGAGCCCTGGCCAGTTTGGCTCAGCGGTTAGAGCGTCGGCCTGTGGTCAGGAGAGACCCGGGTTCGGTTCCCGCTAAGGGCATGTACCTCGTTTGCAGTTTGTCCCCGGTCCTGGTTGGTCGTGCGGGTGGCAGCCACTCGATGTGTCCCTTTCACGTGGATGTTTCTCTCTCTCCCTCCTACTCTATCTGTACAAAAAATGGAAAAATGTCCTCAGGTGAGGATTAAAAAAAAAAAAAGTTTTGAAACCTGCAAGAGGTATTGCTTGTATCATATTGTGAATATAATACGGGCTACTGAATTACACACTAAAATGGTTAAATTTCATGTGAATTTCACCTCAACTATCCCCCCCCCCCCAAAAAAAAGTGTGTCCCTAAGCATGCTTTGTAGCCTGAACTTACAGAATAGAATCCTGGAAGCCCAAGAGTTGGACAAGACTGAAGGTGGAGTTATGGATGAACTTGAGAGATCATTACAGGTCTCCCATACAATTATACTGGCAAGGTGACATGCAGCTAGAATCAGAACTGGAATCTGGATTTGTCTCTGGGTGTATAGCCATGGTGGCATCCTAGGCCACTCACTCAAGTTTCCTCAACCTCAGGGTTCCAATCTGCAAAACGGGGCTCATGTATATCCCATTTTCCTCAGCACTGTGGATGAAGGTTTTGAGAGCACTGTGCACTTTCTTCATAGGGTGAACCGGGTCACAGCATCTTTTTCTAAGCACACCAGATTAAAGCCGGTTCTTTGCTTCATGAGGAGCCAAAAAGGGGGTTCAGAAGCCACGGGTAAGGAAGGGGCTTACTCAGGTTAACCGGCTGGATTCTTTTCTCTCCCACTATCTGTGTACTTGGGCAAGTCACCCATTTCTGTTTCTTAAGTGATAAAATGGAAATAGCTGTCTGCCTTGGAGAGAGTATGTGAATATAGCTTAGGCACTCAATAATCAGATCCTTTTCATCTTTTTGTTTGTGGCTGCTCCCTGGAACACAAAAAATTACCGGTTTCGGAATCCACCCAAGAATTGCTGAGCTCTGGCTCAGGGAGGTTAAGGCACTAGCCCAAGGGGACAGCTAGTTTTACCTTAGAACAAACACAAATATCCTGGTTCCCCGTCCAGGAACTTTCAAGTCTCTAAGCTTCATTTTTTTTCCCTCTCTCCAACAGACATTTGGCACCTACTACACCCTAGAAAGGGCTGAGGTGTGTAAGAAGAGAGACCCAGCCCCAAATTAGGTGTTCATCACTTCCTGAGACAGGTGCTGCCGTCCCCGGTGTACATATTAGGAAAACTGTTTAACCGAGAGGCTCTGAGAAGCCAACTGCCTGGTACCAGAACACATAACCAGAGAGCGGAGTTCTGGAATTCGAACTCGGGTCCTCCCGCGGTGCCACGAGCCGAAGCCCCCAAGGCACGCATGGCTTGGCGCTGGGAAGGCACGCGGCGGTGGGAATCCCATGTGGAGCTGGAAGCCAGGCCCGTACATTTGCAGGCTAATACCCAGAATGCTTCCCCTCTACCCCCACCCCCTTCTCTTAATGGAAGCGCTCAGTTTAGAGTTTGGAACCGTGGAAAGTTTGGAACACATACTTCGCTCCTTCTTTGCAACTGTGGGAACTTCCCGCCCGCACACGCGGTGCCTGCAGCCCAGAGTTCCAAGTCAGGCTGCCGGGTGGCGGTCGCGTTTCCCCGGCAGGCGAACCTCGGTGTCTAACCTGCGCGCGGCATCATCCTCGGGCCAACCGGGGACAAAGCGCCCAGGCGTGCCGGCGGGGCCTATGGCCCGAGCGCTGGGGATGCTCCCGGCCTCAAGAGGCTGAAAGGCGCTCCCCAGACCCTCCACTACCTTCACTTCTCTAGGGGCTGCTGGGGAGCGCGCGGATCCCTGCTCCTGTCCATCGCCCTTGCCTCTCTATGTTGTTGCCTCCCTGAGCTGTTAACTATCCGCTCCCCGGGGCACAAGGCTGGGCGTGTGATTTAGGGCAGAGGCTGGACGATGGCCTCTTCTCCCCAGCTCTCGAGTACGCAGCCCCTTTGCATTGGTCGGTGCGCTAGGGTGCAGAGGCAGCTCCGGAGTTTCGGCCTGCCCCCAACAAGGACCCCGGGCTCTCTAGGGTTGGGAGCGGAAAGGTGGTCGGCAGGCGACTTCTGGATTATTTCGCGCATCAAAGGTGGGCTTTGAACGGTAGCCGAAGCCCGCCTCACTTACTGGTGCACGTAGAAAGCTGAGGCTGGGGGACCAGATCTGCACCCCTTCGTCCACCTACCCCCGCCCCGTCTGCACGCCGCCACTCTCGGCGGGGAGGGAGGGGCAGTGGGACCTGGTTTGCTGGCTTGGCGCTTCGTTTGCATTGGTCCGGGGGGGCTGAGACTGCAGCCCCTGGCCCCGCGGGTGGGGTGGGGAGGCGGGGGCCCGACGGGGGCTCAGCTGCGCTAGCATTGGCGGAGCTGGAGAATGGGGAGGGGGGGCAGGAAGCGGGGGGAGCGGAGCCGCGGGGGGGTTGTATAAATAGGGAAGGGGGGACGTGCATCCTCGGCTCGGTGAGGGGGGGGCGCTCGGCACAAAGAAAGTGGAAAGTTTGCAGCGCCGGGCGGCCGGTGCCAGGGATCTGGGTGCGCACGTGCAGGGCCGGGGGCGCCGGGGGGCCCCCCACACTAAGCTCGCCGTTTCTTTTTTTTTTCCTGCAAGCGAGAGGGGGGGGTGTTGTTGGTATCGCCCCCTCCTTCTCCTCCCCCCAGGGGTGAAAGTGCAAGAGGAAGTGCAGCCGCTGCCATCTTTCCTCCGCTCCGAACACACGGAGCCCGGGGCCGCAGCTCGCCGCCGCCTTCGGCCGGCCCGGGGAAGGGCCCACCCTGCCGCCGCCGCCGCCGCTGCCGCCGCCTGCCCGCTCCAGCCTTCGCCGCCTCCTCCGCCCTCCAGGCTTCGGAACCCAGCCCGTGCTGCCGCTCCAGTGCGCGCCCTGCCACCGCCGCCGCCTTCGCCTTTTGTTTCCTCTGCTCCGGCGCCCCCGCCCCGGCTCGCGCTTTGCAGGGGACGCAGCGCGCGCCCCCAGCGGGCCCGGGAAAAGCCGCGGCGCGCGCGCGCGCCTGCGCGGCAGACCCCTCCTCCTCCCCGCGCGCGCGCCCCTGTTGGCTGCACGCCGGCGCCGCCTGGCGGGCGGGAGGGGAGGTAGCAGGCGCGTTTGCAGGAGGGGCGCACCTCTTTGCTCTGTTACCCCCGGAGGTAGATCGAGAAGGGGAGGCAGGCGGGCGGAGAGGAGAGAGGAGTGCGTAATCCAGCAGTGGTAGGGGCCGCTATGTGGGGGGTGGTGCGCCCTGCAGTCTAGATAGTACGATCCGGGCAGGGGGCGTGTGCGCTCGGCGCACCTGCGAGACTATAGAGCCCGGGGCCGGCACGTGTGGGGAGTGTAGACACGTCCGCTGTGCCCCTCTTGTCGCTGCCTAGGGGAAGGGAGGGGGGCGGGCAAGAGCCGCGGCCCGTTTTGTGGGGAGGGGGCGGCGGCCATGGAGCGGGTGAACGACGCTTCCTGCGGCCCGTCGGGCTGCTACACCTACCAGGTGAGCAGGCACAGCACCGAGATGCTGCACAACCTGAACCAGCAGCGCAAAAACGGCGGGCGCTTCTGCGACGTGCTCCTGCGGGTGGGAGACGAGAGCTTTCCAGCGCACCGCGCCGTGCTGGCCGCCTGCAGCGAGTACTTTGAGTCAGTGTTCAGCGCCCAGTTGGGTGATGGCGGAGCTGCGGACGGGGGTCCCGCTGATGTGGGGGGTGCAGCGGCGGCCCCGGGCAGTGGGGCTGGGGGCAGCCGGGAGCTGGAGATGCACACCATCAGCTCAAAGGTGTTCGGGGACATCCTGGACTTCGCCTACACTTCTCGCATCGTGGTTCGCCTGGAGAGCTTCCCCGAGCTCATGACGGCTGCCAAGTTCCTGCTGATGAGGTCGGTCATTGAGATCTGCCAGGAAGTCATCAAACAGTCCAATGTGCAGATCCTGGTGCCCCCTGCCCGGGCTGACATCATGCTCTTTCGTCCTCCTGGGACCTCGGACTTGGGCTTCCCTTTGGACATGACCAACGGGGCAGCCTTGGCAGCCAACAGCAATGGCATCGCAGGCAGCATGCAGCCCGAGGAGGAGGCAGCTCGGGCAGCTGGTGCAGCCATTGCCAGTCAAGCCTCCCTGCCTGTGTTACCTGGGGTGGACCGCTTGCCCATGGTGGCTGGACCCCTGTCCCCTCAACTGCTGACTTCCCCATTCCCCAATGTGGCATCCAGTGCCCCTCCCCTGACTGGGAAACGAGGCCGGGGCCGCCCAAGGAAGGCCAACCTGCTGGACTCAATGTTTGGGTCCCCAGGGGGCCTGAGGGAGGCAGGCATCCTTCCATGTGGCCTGTGTGGAAAGGTGTTCACTGATGCCAACCGGCTCCGGCAGCATGAGGCCCAGCATGGTGTCACCAGCCTCCAACTGGGCTACATCGACCTTCCTCCTCCGAGGCTGGGTGAGAATGGGCTACCCATCTCTGAGGACCCCGATGGGCCCAGAAAGAGGAGCCGGACCAGGAAGCAGGTGGCATGTGAGATCTGCGGCAAGATCTTCCGTGATGTGTACCATCTCAATCGGCACAAGCTTTCTCACTCGGGGGAGAAGCCCTATTCCTGCCCTGTGTGTGGGCTGAGGTTCAAGAGAAAAGATCGCATGTCCTACCATGTGCGGTCCCACGATGGGTCTGTGGGCAAGCCCTACATCTGCCAGAGCTGTGGGAAAGGCTTCTCCAGGTGAGAAATGGTGCTCCCCACCATGACCTGTCCTATTCCTCACTCATGGGACAGCTCCTTGCCAAGATCTGGGAGTGTGTGGGTCACTTGACCTTGTAGAGGCATGTCTAGTTTGGGGACTGTTTTAAAGGCTCAGCTTTTGAGATGGTGTGGCCAAGAAGCTGCTTTCTCTTCCCGTAGGGAAGTTCTCTGGCACTAGGTGTGCTCTACTGCCTCTCTTCCTTGGGGCCTGGTGGGAAGGGGCCTGGATTCTTCAGGCCACAGCCACTGGGCCTCACCATTCTTCTCCCTGGGCTCCCTTTGTGTTTCCGGCACCAGGCGTGGGGCCCCCTCTGGGGGCGGGAGGCTGGGCTCCTCCAGCGACTTTCCCCGCTTGAATGGCTGCCGAGGGAGACACTGAAACAGAAACAAGTGCACCTCGGACTCCTTACACTCCTGTGCCTCCAAATCCCCCAGCACACAGCACTGGCAATGGTAGCTCAATCAACTCCAGCTTTGCTCCTCACAGCCCCCTGGGATCATGGGGCACAGAACTTGGCACTCAGAGTCTCTTCCTAACACCAAAATTTTTGATCAGCTCTGACCTGGTGGCTCCAGAGCCTAAATGAACTCACAGGTACCCTTTATGTTCTCAGGACATAGAGGAAGGGGGGTTGGGGGGGGCAGGATGTCTTTTTATATTCACTTTTTAGTGATCCTGATAGGGAACTGAGTACTTGTCTGGGAGCGGAGGGTTGTTTTGTTTCTCTCTTAAGAGAATATCCAGAATAAAAGCTGGTTTTAACTTGCCTGGATACTGAGGACCTTGTGTGTGGAACCTAGGGATGGAGAATTCCCTCAAAGGGGCCCCAATCAGGAACCAGTCTTACCGGTCAGGCAACCCCTGCCCACCTGCTCTGGCGGGCATCTGGCTTACCAGCCCAGCTGGGGACTTAAGGCTCCATCCCTTGGCCTCTGGGGACTGAATTCCATCTGGGTGGCATTCATTGGCTGCCACGGCTGGAGAGGCTGGGGGAGGGGAATACACAGTTTCTAAGGGGCTTTAGTCTGGATAATAAATCACACATACCCCCTCCCGGAAAAGCTGCAGCAAGGCAGTCCTGTCTTATTCTAAAACCACCTCCTCGGGTCCTAGAAATCATTGAGTTTCTGATGGGGGGAAGTGGGTAGGCAAGGTCAGAGACAAACACTCACTTCCCTTATCTCTAGAGAGGCCTGGGCCTGTGGAACCAGAGCTGGATGGTGACTGTCTTTGTCATGCTGGGGTGGGGGAGAGGGAGTACTCTCCAGCAGTGCGGGTGTGTGTGTGGGGTCTGGACAAGAGTGTGGCCCCATTTTGTGAGGTCTTATTTTAAAGTCTGTCTTGGTTCTCTCTTTTCCAGGCCTGATCACTTGAACGGACATATCAAGCAGGTGCACACTTCTGAGCGGCCTCACAAGTGTCAGGTAGGGGTCGGGCCAGGGCAGAACTGGGCTCAAAGAGAATGCTGCTTGTTCTCACAGCCCAGCCGTGAGCCAGCTGATGTGTGTGCTGGGTGGGCTGACTGACCACCGCTTTGCACACCTCCTCCTCTGTCCCTCCACCCTCCGTCTGCTCTTCTTTGTTCTTCCCCCTGGCCCCCTCCCCCCCACTGCTGATGTCCCCTCCTTCCTGGTTGTTGGGTCCTGGTTCCCACCCTGTCTCCATCTTTCCTATGTTGCTTAGCTTTCCTTTCCCGTTGTTAGCCAGCTCTGTGGATGGTGGGTCACATTGCATAAGTGCTGTCCTGGGGGCACTGGCACCCCACTGTGCCTGGCTTCTGGTTCTCAGCAGTTGGCAGGGGCCACCATGGGGAGGGAAGGGTTTGTAAAGGGCTCCTGGTGGTCCAGCCAACAACTTTTCCCCTTGTCTGCCAGGTAGCCTGACCAAGTTGGAGCTCCTTCTGGGTCCCCTCAGGTTAGGGCACAAGGCAGCAGGGAGTGGCGAGGGTGGAGAGGGTGGGTGGTCTTATCTCCAAGCATTGGCACCTGTTTAAACCTTCTGAGGACTGGAGAGCAAGGTGGTTTACTCTCCTGTGAGCTCTTTGTGTAGCAGTAGGTAGGGAAGGCTGGGCAGGATTCTCACCTTTGGTTTGTCTACTTGAACAATATCTGGGGCTCTGTGGCACCCAGAAGCTTGAGTTTCCTCTCGGTCACTGAGCATTCCTGTGTAGATGGAAAACACACCTCTCTCTTCTCCCTGGTTACCTCCCCTCTCCTGTGCCAAGTTCCTAAAATTGGAGGGGGAGCCAGAGTTGTGAAGTGCTTACTGCAGCCTCTGGTAGGGTAACCTGCTTCTCTTCCTGTTGGTGGCAAGGAGGGAGGGTTCAGGGAGACCTGTAGAGAGGGATGGAAGTGTTGTAGGTAGGCCAAAGAGCCCCCAGGGGCCAGGTGTGAATGGTGTTCACATAAGCCAGGCTAGGTGGTCTCTCCTGAGGACAATAACCAGGGGTGGGGCTGCTGGGATACATCTGTGCCTCATTGCCTTCTCTCTGTCTCTGATTTTCTCATCACAGAGCACATTCTGACTCTCCCAGGTAGTTTTCTGAGCAGCCTGGTAGAGTAGGAGGAGCCCAGAGGGCAGTGGGGCCGAGCCCGGTGGCCTGGGGGGGTAACCTGCACTCTCTGCCCTTTTTCCAGGTGTGGGTTGGGAGCAGCAGCGGCCTGCCGCCCCTGGAATCTCTTCCTAGCGACCTGCCATCATGGGACTTTGCCCAGCCTGCTTTGTGGAGGTCGTCCCATTCGGTTCCTGACACCGCCTTTTCCCTTTCTCTAAAAAAATCATTCCCCGCCCTTGAAAACCTGGGCCCAGCACACTCCAGCAACGCTCTCTTCTGCCCAGCCCCTCCGGGATATCTGAGGCAGGGCTGGACCGCCCCAGAGGGCAGCCGGGCCTTTCCCCAGTGGCCTGTAGGCTAGCCTGGCCTCCCTGAGAGGGTTTTCTGTGGAGGGAATGGGAGTGGCGGTTGCTCTGAGACCCTTGCTTTTGGGAGAGGCCAGCAGAGTGGTTCCCATCCACCATGCCTTGCTTCTGCCAGGGTGACGTGGAGTCTTTCCCAGCTCAGGGACCCCAAATGGGGATAGCAAGAAGCTCCTTGGTACCCCCACCAGGCTCTAGGTACCCCTGGGTGTCTATCCTTGCCTGGATGATTTTAGAGGTTGGTACATTCCTGGGAACTAAGCCACTGGCTTCTATGCTTCCCCTCTCTTGGCATCACCTTCCCTAAGGCAGGGGTTTTCTAGAATGGGGCCTGGCCACCCCTCCCCCCACCCTGGGAGTGAATGCCCCTCCAGAGGAGACTCTGGTACAACTTCAACTAGGTCAACCCGCACTGCCCTCCTCTTCCCTTACCACTCAGACAGGTCCTGCTTTCTTTTCTGGCTAATGAATTAGACTTTTGTGTTTTTGAGGTTTATTAGCAGGTCTGCTCAGGAACTAGACTAACCAATAGCTTTATATCGGGTCACCCCAATATATGGCTTTGGGGGCTGATAAAGCAGATGTATGTAGACTCTCCCTCTTGGATCCCGGTGGTATGCCCTTTAGCCCCCGCAGGCTTTGCGGGGATAATAGGAGTGACGATAAAAGTTTTAATTCTAACATTTGAGGCTTTGTGTGTTTTGTCCTTGGTTTGTGTCATAACACTGACATCATTGTCCCTGGGTGTACAAGCCCACTCCAACAAGCACTCACAGACCTGCTGGCCCGGCCTCCAACCCATAGCCAGAACTCCTCTAATGATGACCCAGCAGGTAAAGACATGCTGGCTCTCATGTGCTGGGCTGGCCAGTCAGGTGTGCCTGGGCTTGGTTAACCAGCAGGGGAATCTGTTTTGCGTGGTGTGTATTCTGAAAGTCTCAGAGGTGAAGAGATGGGAGTTGGTTCCTTGGGGCCCTGGCAAAGCTGGGCATGTACCTCTCAGCCCCTCCTGATGTCACAGAGGACAGAAGGGGCCAGTTACTGAGGCTGGTGCCACAGCTTGAGTGAAAAGGCCAACCGAATGTCAGAGCATGAACCCTCAGGCTTGGCAGTGTTACACAAGTCTCCTCAGGCCTGGGCCTGAGTGTCCTTAACTGGCCCAGTTGGCCCAGGTACTGCTGCATCTATGAGTGCAGTGGGCTAGGATATTTCCCACATTGGAACTTAGCCTGAAGCTGAGAAGCTAGAGCAGCTGAGACTGCACTCCCCATTACTTCCAGTGGCCCCACTTCTCAGGGGCTACTGGGGTGGCTTGGGCTGGAGGGGTGGTTCATTAGAGAAGGAATGAATAGAGGTGGGAATAAAGGAGCTGACACCCTCAAGAAGAAGAAGGGGACCAGCAAGGCCTGTGGTGCTGGGTCTCCACACATTGCCCTTAGACTTTTTCCAGGGCTGTGGTTAGACTGCTTATGACATCCTGAGGCTGGCAGACTTCAAAGGTCAGGGGTGCATTAGTGTCCCTGGTATCATTTGGGCTCCATTTCTGAGCTGCTCAACCCTTAGGAAGAAAAGATTTAAGAAGTCTGGGTGGGGAGAAATTGGCAGGGGAGAGAAGGGAGCATGAAGGGGCTTAGTGTGGAGAGGTGATGAGCAGAGGTGACCCAAGCTCATGTTAGCTGGGTTGGGACCTGGCGTATGTGCTTAACAGTAGCAGGCTGCTGAAGCACAGGGCTGTGGGCAGGGTGGCTATGCTGAGCACCACCAGCAATCAGATAATGCTTCTGCAGGCTCACTCTTGTCCCTTCGCGGTCCCTCTGCCTTCTCCCTGTCTCCTGGAAGGGGAGTGCCTTTCCCCTGAGTGGCCCCAGCATGGAGGTTCTAGGAGGTTTGCTATGTCTCCCTCTTTTGGCTGATATATCTCAGCCACTCTTCTATGTCCCTTCTCTCCTGGGTTGTGTGACCAGCCTCTTTATGTCCTGTGTTCTCAGAACTTCTGGCAGGTCTAGACTCAGACTCATACATTTTCAAGATTTTCCCCAGAAAACTCTGGGGACTCAACTATGAAGGGTCAATTTTGGCACAGAAAAGCCGACAATCACTTCAGTTTGGTTTTGTAACACAGTGAAAGTTTCTGTTGTGTTTGTGGTTTTCTTCTCAGCAGCAGATTTACATTCCTACTTATGTTTGCTCAGGTTAAAGTTAGTTTTCATTCCTTGAGAGATAGTGGAGGATGAGGTGGGGAAGTCAGCCTGGTCTGGGATTTTAATTTTGTTTGGCTAATCCTCCAGATGGATAATCCATTTGTGGATAATCGAGGTTGGGCTGTCCATTATTTTTAGGTAGCAAAGTATGACAGGCAGTACTTTAAAGGACAGATCCCTAAAGAAGGCAGGCAAGAGAAACAAGGCATCTCTTTCATATCTCTCTAGTGGCACCCTCTCCAAGGGAACGTGGGAGACAGAATTCTCAATGTGTGCTTTCAGCTGCATTTTCTCACACCTGGTCCATGTTGGTTCCTTTGAGTTCTGAAGCATAGGCCACACTGCTTCTCATCATTGGAGGGGTGGTAGTTAGGTGACCAGCTGGCAAAGCTGGCTCTTGACTGTGGATAAATGGATAGGTGCACTCTCCTGAGGGTGTTTATGGCAGCCCTTGTTCTGATTCATAGGCTGGTGGGCTAGGTAGAAATTCAGTTACACACCTTCACCACCGACACCATACACATACTGTGATAATTGGGTCATGAGGTTCCAGACTGAGGTGGGGGCCCACCGTGGCCATGAGACCAAGTACCGGTGATGCTTTCTGAGGCACCTAAGTGTTTGAGTTTCCCTGCACAGTCCTGTCATCTCTCCCTGTCAGAGGAGTCCTGGCTACCAAGTACACTGTTAAAAAGTATCAGCACTGCCCTGGCCGGTTTTGCTTAGTGGTTAGCACGTCAGCCTGCGGACCAATGAGTCGTGGATTAGATTCCGGTCAAGGGCTTGTACTTCAGTTGTGGTTTGGTCCCTGGCCCTGGTCGGAGTCGTGTGGGAGGCAACCAGTCAATGTGTGTGTGTGTCTCTCTCTCCTTTCCTCCCTCCCTCCCTCCCTACCTCCCTCTCTGTCTGAAGATAAATAGAAAAGAAAAAAAATGTCCTTGGGTGAGGATTGAAGAAAAAAAGTATTAGCACCTTCCAAGGACCAGAAACGACCTCTACTGAGCCTAGAAATGGCAAGAGCACAGGCTCAGGGGCTGCTCACAGCCAGCTGTCCCATATCCTCTCAGGGCCTCCATCTGCCCAGCAGTAAATCAGGGAGGACCAGAAGCCCAGGGTAGCTGGATGGATTGGTAGGACACTGGTCTGGCATGGCAGGGCATTTAGACTGCTGCTTTCTCTAGCAGCTGAATTATGTGCTTTGGGCAAATCACTTTCTAAATTCAGCTTCCTCATTTATCAAATGAATAAACTCAATATGTAAAACAAATAAAAGCAGTATTTTATTAGTATAAATTGTTCTGTTCAAATGTGTAACAACAGAACAGCAAGGCCTGTCCTGATGCACACGAACATTTGGGATTGAGGTAGCAACAGTGGCCTCTTCTACCTCCAGTGTTGCATGGGTTTGTTCTTGCTTTTGATTGTACAGTAAGGAGATAGATAACTATGTGGTGACTGTTCTGACACTTCCCTTGAGGTCTTGGGATCTCAGGATATGCGTCTGTTAAACAGACACGGTAGGAGTATCTCCATTCTAGCAAGTTAACAGGGTGGCAGGCCTGCAAGTAGGTTAACATTATATCTGTGATGCACTTAAAGGTAAATGTTGCTTTCTCTTGCAGTTCTAAAACAGTAAACATGCACAAAGTGAAATGAGTCAAACTTGACTAGAACCCCTGAAACACCTTCATAGAACCAAAATAGCTTGAAAGTCACCATAATGTACTCTCCTGAGGGCTTTCCTGACATTCCGTGACCTCCAAGGCTGGGTGCCTGTACAAGCCCCAGCTGAGGAAAGGGTGTTGGGAGATCAGGGACTGAGACTGAGTCAGGTCCTAGGCACAGGAAATGCCTGGGTCTTGGACCTTCCCTTCCCAAGGGTATGGCTGCTGACCTTCATTGCCTTAGTGATCCGCCCCTGGGACCTGGCTGTGAGTTGGTGGTCACAGCACAACTTTCTATGATCACATTCTTGGAAGGTGATAACACAGCCTGCCCAGAGGGCTGCTATAAGGATGGACTGCATGAGTAAGTGCCTCGAAAAGGCTAAGCATGGTGCCTGCCTGGCACAGAATGAATGCTCAATCGATGCAGGGTAGTATCACCTTCCTTGTTATTACCAGCACTTCTGCAACTTAACATTTCTCAAATGCTCCCAAAGCCTCTGGCCTGCTTTCTGTCTGCTCATTCTCACGTTGGCAGAATTGACACTATCATTTTATGAGCTGCTTTTTCAATACAAATTCATGAGAATATGAAGAGTAATCTCTGCTTTGTCCTGCCTTTCCTTTACATTTCCCTGTGACCAAGACTAATGTCACTTTTGAATAAAGTAAATAAATGAATTCTTTGTATAAAGCAACTAGGGAAACCTAGGATGGATAACAGGAAAACTGGTCTGTTTATATGCCAATAACTCTTCCGTAAATTCCCTTATAGTCAATGCAACTGATGTCAATTCTTTTTTTGGTACATGCCCCTAGTGGGAACCAAACCCAGGACTCTCTGGTCCGCAGGCCAATGCTCCAACCACTGAGCCAAACCGGCCAGGGCCTGATGTCAATTCTTAATGTTTACAAATGAACAAATACCTAATCTTCATTTTGTAGGGGAGCATAGAACTTGGTGTGACATGTTGTGGTAGTCATTGGAACCAAGAATTCCAGCCCAGGTGTCCCATGTGGGAAATTAGAGCAGCTAGTTGGCATATTGGGGAGAAAGTCTGGCCCCCATTCTAAAGCATTCTGTACAGGGAGTCAAACGTGTTGGCCAGAAATGGTTCTGCTTCACTATGTGCTTGATGAGGAGTCAGGTGTGGAATGCCAGGTTTCACCTCCTCCTGTTTTCCTTTCTGCCCTCAGACCTGCAATGCTTCTTTTGCCACCCGAGATCGCCTGCGCTCCCACCTGGCCTGTCATGAAGACAAAGTGCCCTGCCAGGTGTGTGGGAAGTACTTGCGGGCAGCGTACATGGCAGACCACCTGAAGAAGCACAGTGAGGGGCCCAGCAACTTCTGCAGTATCTGTAACCGAGGTAATCTCCCTGCTGTTTCCTCACTTCTAGAGGATGGGCCTGAGCTTGTGTGGGAGGCCGGGGGCTCTTGACCACCCTGCCTCAGACTCCATTCTTTGCACGGCCGGCCTTCCCTTCCCACTGAATGATAAACACTTTCATCGCCCAGCTAGCTGCTTGCCACCCCTTCCTTCCCAAGGAACTTTGGATACGTGGAATGGGAGTTCAGCAAGTGGGAACAGGAGGAGTATTGGTCCCAAGCTTGGGCCCATAATATCTACTGCTCAGGTGGCAGAATGATGCATTTGTAGATACCACTGAATGATTGATGTTGGTGGGAGAGTCAATAGGCCCCAAGAGGTGGGAGAAAAAAAGGTTCCTGCTTGAGAGCTGGCTGATTCACTGGCATGTGAAATACAGAGCCAGGGAAGAAGATTGAGTCTAGAGATGGATAAGGGTCAGAAACTTTCTAGCACAAATGATCAGAAAGAGCCCAAACCCAGGTAGATTGTTGCCTTGATGAGAAAGGAGAGTGGAAGGTGTTCTGAGCAGGGTAGCGTGCTTGCTGCTGAGGTTGGCCTAGGTGGCGTCTGGCTCTGTGGTCCCGGTGTTATGTTGGATGAAATCAGGCATGTCCTGAACCTTAGCTTCTGCCAGGGCTTGTTGGTTGGCTGTTGGAAGGGCCGAGGTTTGTGTTTTGCAAGCACAGTGTCAGTGGAGGAGGCTTGCGCCGTATCTCTGCTGAAGGAGGTTGGGCAGCTGTCTGTAATGGGTGTGAGGATGCTTCTGCATGGTGTGCTTGCTTTGGCCAGGTGTGGACATTGCTGGGAAGTCCTATCTTCTGGGACACCCTAGTCCCAATGCTTCTGGAAGTCTTGGGTGTGGCTTAGTGGATTGAGTACTGAACCAGGAATCAGGGGGCCTAGGGTTTAATCCCAGCCCCTCCCACCTCACCCTACTATGTGACCTTGAGCTTTCCCTTCTCCTCTTTAAACATCATTTTCTTCATCTCTTAAATGGGGTTAAGAACAACCCCCCTTGCCCATCTCACAGGGTTGTTGTGGGGATCCCAGCACACAAGGTAGATGGAAGTTAACTGAACCCCACAAGATGCTTCACACTTGGGGAAATACTTCACATAGTGTTAGAAAAGACACTCTGGTTTGGGCCAAGCAAACCAGGCCTTGGCTGGAATCTTTGGGTGCCTGTGCTATCTCCATGTGCCCTGAGGTTGCTGGTGGAGGGAGACTGCTGAATAGCTGGGTGCCTCTACCTGGGACTGCATACCTGGGGTTTGCCTTAAAGGCCACTGGATGTCACCGTTTGCACCACCAAGAAACCTGCTGCTTAAGCATCTGTCCTATTTTCTGACATGTCAATAGAGCCCTTTCTGGCAGGAACTTCCCCCAGGTAGCAAGCTGCGGGGTTATGGTTACAGGGAGTTATCAAGCTGTGACTGACCATCTTGACCACCATGGTCCCAACTCTAGAAAAAGTTCTTTACTTCATTCTAACCTGGCTTACTGACAGCACCCCCAAATAACTCTAAACCTGCTACAACATGCCATCCTTAGGCTTTCTGTCAAGTTTTCAAGGTTGAAGTTTTCAGCCTGAGAACTGGTGTCAGAGCCCAGAAGCAGGAACCAGTGAGAGTGGAAAGAGATGCTAATGAGGAAACTCAGAAAGCCCAGCCCAGATTGCAGAGGGGGTAGGAATTGGTGGGAGACCCAGGGCTACAGCCTCTGGGGCTCAGCTCTAGAGGAAAGAAGAGCTGAGAACAGCAGAGAACAGCAGGGCACGTTGGCCCAGTTACGAGACAGCTGATGTGGCAAAGCCAACAACTGTTATAATGTCAGGATTTTTCTTGAGGCTGGTAAAGAGGACTTGGGCAACGGCACAGGCTACATGACTGGGATGGAGACGCTAGAAGATTAAAAGCAGAGGCCACCTTATCTCAGAAAAGACAAGACTACATCTGGATCATAGGCTAAACATCTTTGGTTCTGAATCAGGGCAGGAAGTCCCATTCTTTCAAGAAGATAAAAGTAGGCTCTGGTCCAACCCACCCTGGTTACTCAGAAGGAAGAGAAAACAATTTCATTTTTTATCAGAAGAGAAGGAACAGGATTCTTCCCTCTGGACTCATTTCTTGGGCAGAAATAGGAAGAGACTTCTGGGGGTGTGGGGTGGGGGTGGGGATGGGGACAAAAGAGGAAGGCACTTTTTTCCAGGAAGAATATAAGGACACCAAAGACATCAAAACACTGGAATGAGAATGCAGAGAGCTCTGGGCCATCCTTTGCCCTGAATTCTGGGAGGAGCTGTACGAATAAATGAATGTTCTTATCTCTACAAGGGTTTAAGCAATGGCTAATGTCAGCCAGCTGGTCAGATGGTTGAGGTGTGAATTTCCAAGTGCCCTCGGAGATCCTTCAATCCCAACAAGTCTTTTTTCCCTTTAATTCCAGAGAGAGAAAGGGGTGGGGGAGAGAAACATCAATGTGAGAGAGAAACATCAGTTGGCTGCCTCCCACACACACCCGACTAGGGATTGAACCTGAAATCTGGGTATGTGCCCTGACTGGGAATCGAGCCCACCACCTATTGGTGCATGGGACGATGCTCCAACTAACTGTGCCACATCTGCCAGGGCCCAACAAGTCTTAAGCAATCAACTTAACTACTTATAGATCTGCCATTTTCAGTCTTTATCACACAAACACTCTTGCCCGTGAAGAATGGGAAATATTAGAGGCAGTCTGGCTGCTCTAGCCCCACAATTGAGACAGATGACCTTATCTTTGTCCTAGAGACATATCAGGATGTGGGTCATACATTCAGTAAAGTGGAAAGAGTATGATGGTGAGAAAAGCTTGTTCCCTCATTTTCAAATTGAGGACATCAGTTAAGTTGATCAGTGGGAAAGAGAGAAGGATCTGGAAGATCACAATAATTTTCTTCCTTTCTTTTTAAATTTCTATAGCAGGATCTTTTTATATATGCATATGTAATGGTATGAGGAAGAGGGATTGCTTATTGGGAATGTGCCTTTGACAGAGACATTTGGTCTCCAACATCATTGCTTAAAAGGTAGAGGAAGTCCTCTTCCCAGTTAGAGGTGGGCGTACAAGTTGTCACCAATGCCAGTCATGGGCACAGACAGCCAGGGCACATTCCCCTGGACTGGCTGACACAACCTGACCTAGTGTGCCCATCTGGCACCACTTAGCTGGGCATGGCCTTACCAAGGTTTGGACAAGGAGAAATCAGTCCTCAACCCCTGCATGGATGTGGAACTTGCAGAAGGAGGACTTGCTTCTGGAATGTGAAATGCAGCGTAACAGACAAGAAAATGCAATGGAGGAGCAGTAGCCTTTTATTAATAAATTCTTCATCTATAGATTGTGAGGGAGGGTGGCTTGTTGGTTCTAGCGGAGTCACATATGTGCTGTCTCTACCATTCAAGCCTCATTCAAGCCTCCTCTTGGGTTCTTGGTTAATCAGTGGGGAATGGGCAGGTGAGTTCAGAATTCTGACTAAATATTTCTGACTTAAAAGATGTTTTCTTCGCCCTGGCTGGTTTGGCTCAGCGGTTAGAGCATCGGCCTGCGGTCCTGAGAGACCCGGGTTTGGTTCCCGCTAAGGGCATGTACCTCGGTTGCAGTTTGTCCCCGGCCCTGGTCGGTCGTGCGGGTGGCAGCCACTCGATGTGTCCCTTTCACATCGATGTTTCTCTCTCTCTGCCCCCCCCTACTCTACCTGAACAAAAAATGGAAAAATGTCCTCGGGTGAGGATAAAAAAAAAAAAAAAGATGTTTTCTTCTTAGAAACTCAGCTTCTGTTTTAGCCCAACAGTTGGCTGCTGAGTTGCTCTGTGTTTAAATTCTGGGCTTTATGTGGCAGCTGTGGATCCACTCCTACCACCCTGCCATGTGGTTTTGCTATAGATAGTACAGTCTGCAGCTGGGTAAAGTCAAGAGGACCCAGCCATGTGTTTCTCAGACTGTTTTTCAGGAAAAAGAAGCAAGGTTTCATTGAGCATCTGCTATCTTCTGGCATAGCTCTTCCCACAAGGAGTAAATATAATAATTCTTGGTGCTCCTTCCTTCTTTTCCCATCCCCTTTGATTTGCAGTGGACCTGCCTGGGTACACCTTACCACTTCAGAGCCTCACAAGGGATTAAAAAACAAAGAAAAAAATTCTCTTGTAAAGTGACTCATCATATCGTCAGAAAACCCCCATATCTATGCTGGTTGTTGGGGCCACAGCAGGGTTACTTAGCAGGGTGCTAATATCCTCTTTCCCATTAGCCTCATCCACTCATTCCTGACTATACCCTCCCTCTTAAGAAGGTTTATAAGATAAGCCAGACTGTCCCCTGTAATTGGCTCCAGGCAGACCACTCATCACAGCACAGGACCACTTGCTCTGCCAGACAGGGCAGGACACCAGGCCAACTGGGTCTGTGAAGTAGCTGTATCAGGAAAGGAGGGAAAATACACTTAGTCCCCTATTTCCTCCGGAACCACCAAGCACTATTGTCAAGGGAGTGTTTATTAAAAGCTTCCCAGCCCTGGCCAGTTTGACTCAGTGGTTAGAGCGTCAGCCCACAGACCAGAGTCCCTGGTTTGATTTCAGCCAAGGGCACGTACCTCGTTTGTGGTTTGTTCCCAGCCCTGGTTGGGGTCATGCGGGTGGCAACCAGTTGATGTGTCTCTATCACATCGATGTCTGTCTCTCTCTCTCTCTCTCTCTCTCTCTCTCTCTCTCTCTCTCCCCCCCCCTCCCACTCTGTCTGTAAATGTAAAAATATCCTCAGGTGAGGATTTAAAATAATAAATAAACAAACAAACAAGCACGCAAGCTTCCCACAGGTCAGCTCCTGTCTATTGACAGCTTCCATTCTAGTGGAAGAGAAATACATGAATGTAAATGGTGATAACGAAACCTCTTGCAAAAGTCCAAGGGATGTTTCTAGGGCTAGGGCCAAGACATAGGAACCATTAAAAATAGTCTGCCCAGTGGTTAAGGACCACATGTGGCACATGGTCCTGGGGTTGGAGTCCAGGCTTTGCCATTTAGTAGCTGTACAGGTGATTGCAAGTTACTTAACCTCACCAAGCCTCTTATTTTTTTTACCTATAAAATAGGTGTAATAATTTCCAGCTCATAGGGTGGTTGGGGAATACTACAGAATAATGCTTGCAGTGTGCTGGGACCTGGCACACCATCACCACTTGCTGAAGGTGAACTTTTATGATAGTTTTCGCAGTGTTCCAAAAGCCATGCTAATTCAGACTTTTAAAGACGAGTCTTGTGCAGACATTACACAGTACTCTCCAGCCTCTGACCTGTTAGTAATGGATCCCATTGTTATCCCGTAACTGTAATTTTAAAAAGGAATGAAAGTACCTGAGAATGTGTCATCCAGATCTGGGGTGGATTAAAGGAACATCATCAAGGCTTGGCACTCCAAGTGGGCCTTATACTAAAAAGCTTCACACTAAAAAGCTTCACTTCATGCTGAAGGCACTTTCTGATCCTTGACCATGAACGGGGTTCGATGACATAGCTCCTTCCTGTGAAACCCAAGTCGAAATCCTTTGACTGGCCCACCTGGTTCCATATCCTCAGATTTGTGGGTGATGTGGAAGTTGGCCCAAGATCTACTCTTCCCAGCCTGAGATATTACAAGGCTCAAACTGACCAGAGCATCTGGGTTGGGCTGGAGTAGCCTCAAGATAACTGTCCTGCCCCTTCCCCAAAATAAAGACAAAGATTATCCCTGTGTCTTCCTTAAGTGAAGCTGATGGCTGCTCCAAAACTGAACCAAAAACCCACCATGAATAAGAGATGTCTACATTCCTTTAACATAACTTCCTATTTTTCTTGTTCTTCAAAAGGTCTAAACAGTTACTAAATCCAGTTATTCTGAAGGTGGATAAGTTAGCAAAATAGAACAAGTTCTAATAAATAGAAGAAGGAGTACTCTTAGAGGCATTCCTTTGGGATTACAGCTTGCCTCCATCTTTTTTGTTGTACCATTTACCTGCACAAGTGTTAGCAAGCCTTCTGGTTGGCGGCCCATGGCTGCCCTGGAACCCTGTATACTTTTCTTACTACATTTCTAGCCACGGTCCCTGCAGCTGACCACTCAAACCACTCCTTACTGAGGTGCCAAGCAAACCTAGAAGCATTTGGCCTCTGGCCCAGGCATGAGCAGGATCTGACCATCATCTGTCCAGGCAGCTGGCCTGGGCCCTCCACCGTAGCCTTGCTGAGTGGGCTCTGCAGAGAAACTGATTCAAGGGCAGTGCCGCCCTTCATCCTGAGCCAGGTGGCTCCCGTGGTTGCAGCTGTTTTTGAGCCAAGGAGGGGCCCCTTCTAGGTGCAGCTGACCTGGGAACACTAGCCAGAGCGGCCAGAGGAGAGGCTTGGGGGAAGCAGAGAGGTATCTCTGTGCTGGCCGCGGGATCTCATCTCCTTTTGTCTTGTTTAGGTTTCTCCTCTGCCTCCTACTTAAAGGTCCATGTTAAAACCCACCACGGTGTTCCCCTTCCCCAGGTCTCCAGGCACCAGGAGCCCATACCGAATGGGGGAGCAGCGTTCCACTGCGCCAGGACCTATGGCAACAAAGGCAAGCGACCCCTTGCTCTGCACTTTGCTTCTCTGCGCAGACTGTGTTGTGGGGGCGCTGGGCCGGGTGTGGGGAGGCGGGAAGGCTGCCGGCTTGCTGGCCGCCTCAAGGAGGCTCAGAGATCTGAGTGGCAGTGGCTTCCAGGACAAAAATCACAGTGGGTATCTCACTCCAGGGCAGTGAGTGAGGCTTTAGGGCACTGCCATGATCCAGCCCCCGCCTCCTCTTCCCTAGCCCTCCTCCCTTACTCCTGGCCAGCCCCCGCTGTCTGGAGCCCTGCAAGGATGTCTCAGGCCTAGGGCAGGAAGAGGAGCCCTGCATGATGAGTTATTTTGGGCTTGTCTGTTGCCTGTGGCCCTTGAAGGGTGGTGTGAAGCTGTGGCTAAATGCTTTCTCCTTTGACCTTGCAGGGCAGGGGGAGCCAGGGATGGCTTGCCCCTTGGTAGGTGTGACTGGTTTCTGTGAGCACCCTTTCCAGAGGGCCTCTGGCTGCGTTTGTGAGATGCATGGGGATAAATGAGCTACGGCCTCTGATCCATTTGGTTTGCAGAGAGCTCCCTAAGCTCCACCTTCACTTGTTGATTCAGGTTGTTCTGTGGTATTTCAAGTTGTTGTTGCCTTGGGGATAATGCCAGGGGCTTGGTGGATGGCAGAGATGGCATGCTCCACGCTCCCATCATAGACCTCCCTTCCCGGCATGGCTCTCTGAACCCAGGCAGGAAGCTCTTGATTGGTGGAGGACTCCATTGTGGGCCAGGAAAGGCAGAGTAGTGAGGATTGTCTTGAGTTCCAGCGTGTCCTGGGCTCTGTGAGGGGACAACCAGCCGAGTTGTGCAAAGTTGCTTTTTAATCTCTGTGCTTTGGCCACTTGGCCCAGGAAAGGCTTTGGCAGAAGGAAGGCGGTAAGGGTAGAGCTTGTGTTTTCAGCATTGGGAAAAGGATTGGCTTCTGTCTCAGCCATCAATGGTGTCTGCTGACTTAAGGATCCTGCGGCTCTGGTTCTGCCTTGCGAGGGTACAGCTAGTCTGGTGCAGAGGCAAGGCCATTGACATACCTGTTTGGCATCATCAGAATAGCCGTTTTACCTTCAGAGGCACTCAAGAAAGCTCCTAGGAGTTGGGGTCTTTGAGGTGTTCTGGGAAGAAGCAGTGGAGGTCCCCTCTCCATACCCCCTTCTTTGAAGCAGGTTGAGATGATGGTGAGCGATACGTGTGCACCTGCATGAAGAGTCCTCAGCAAGGGAGGCTGGCAGCCCCAGGGCCCTGCTGTCTCACCCCAATAGGTATGCAGACTCCCAGACTGACCAGCCGAACCTCGGTGGGTTCTGCCAGGACAGTGGATGGCTATCGGCTGCCCTCCACAGGCCTGTGACCTGGCCCCTCACAACCCCTCCAGGAGGGGGGCATTTCCAAAGCCTGGCCTCATCTCTCCTCTGTGTTTTGTTTTCTCCTAGAAGGCCAGAAATGCTCACATCAGGATCCGATTGAGAGCTCTGACTCCTATGGTGACCTCTCTGATGCCAGCGACCTGAAGACGCCAGAGAAGCAGAGCACCAATGGCTCCTTCTCCTGCGACATGGCAGTCCCCAAAAACAAAATGGAGTCTGACGGGGAGAAGAAGTACCCCTGCCCTGAATGCGGGAGCTTCTTCCGCTCCAAGTCCTACTTGAACAAACACATCCAGAAGGTGCATGTCCGGGCTCTCGGGGGCCCCCTGGGGGACCTGGGCCCTGCCCTCGGCTCACCTTTCTCTCCCCAGCAGAACATGTCTCTCCTTGAGTCCTTTGGGTTCCAGATTGTTCAGTCGGCATTTGCATCATCTTTAGTAGATCCTGAGGTTGACCAGCAGCCCATGGGGCCTGAGGGGAAGTGAGGCAGATGCTGTGTCCCCGTGGAAATGGTCATCCAGGGGCTGCTGAGAAATGCTGTGAATGCGGAGGAAAGTGATGTCTTTGGGTTCTGTAGCTGAGAGATTTTTATTCGTTTTTAAACACCCCCCCTCCCCATCATCCCATCCCTTTCCACCACCCATTCCCCCAGTGGTCTTTAGAGATAGATCCTCATCTGATACTCTGCAGAAATATCTGTGAGACCCAGTATGGGGCAAGAGCAGGAAACACTACATAGGCCTCCAAGGCAACACCAGTCCCAGTTTCTCTAATGGGTAGAAGCTGGAATTCCTGGTGCTCAATTCTTAGTGGCCCCCATCCCAAACCCACACCTGATGGCATTCTGGGACCTCAGTGATTCTGGTCCCCTCCTACTTCTCTAATCCCTCATTCCCCCATCTCACATCCCTCAAAAGAAACAACAGTAGGTTCTCCTCCCACTTAAACAACTCTGATGCCCACCTGTCTTTAAGGAAGCTGGAAGCCTCTAGCATCCCATGGACCATGGGGTGAGTGTCCTCCAAGAGCTCCCTGAGCTTGACCCTTGACCTGGAGGGCCCCAGACCTTTCTGAGCTCTGCTTGGAGGCTAGCATTTTGCTACTAGGACAAGCTTAGCTATTGAGGACACTCCCATCCCAAATTCCAGTTCGTATGTGATTTTAACCATTCAATTTGCTGTTGGGTTTAATTCTCTAATTATTATTATTGTTATTATTTTTTTAGGACCAGTTGTAGTGAATTGCTACTGAAAGCTATCCCAGGTGATACAGAGCTCTTTGTAAACCGCAGTCACAAGTTAGGGTTAGTATTAAACTTTGTTTAGATGTACCATAATTAACTTGGCTAGTTGATTGTTTGAAGTCTATGGAAGAAATAGTTTTATGCAAAATTTTAAAAATACCAGTCTGGTCAGGGAGGTAGGGGGTTTAGTGCTATTGGGAGCCAGGAAGGCAGGAGAACTGGCAGGTGGAGACATTGTGTACCTCGATTGTGTCACATGTGAACAAGCCCAGGTTGACCCTGTGATGTGAATTGATCTGATCAGACTGTATTAAAAACGTTAGTACGTTAGTTTACCTGCTCCCCTGAGTCTGGTTTTTCAGCTGTGGGAGTCTGGGACCCAGAGGGTGGGCAGTCTACACCCCTGCACCTAGGGTGGGGATAGGATCCCAGGAGACCTATCTTCCTTTCAGTGCACCGGTTGCACTGGGACTGACAGGTGAATGTTCCCACTAAGGACTCAGCTGCCAGCATTCACCCATTTGTTCAACAAATATTCACTCCTGTTGTCTTCACTGCTGTGTGCCATGCCCAGTCTCAGACCCTGGGGATACAGTGGTGAAAGGATTCCCTTGTGGAGCTTAACAGGAGAGAGACAGTTAACAAGTAAGCAGATTTAACCTGAGTTCAGATAATGAGAAGTCCAAGGAGAAAAACTGGGCAAGCAAGGTAGGATGGTGACAGCGGGAGGGAAGATGAGGTGGTATAGGAAGGTGAGAGGCGGAAGATGGGACTCTGGGAGAGAAGACCTGGAGTTAGTGGGGACTGGCTAGGACCTAAGGAGGGACATGGGCAGGCTGAAAATCCTCATGGCCAAGGGGCTCTAAGAAGCTTAGCGAGTTGAATCCCTCCTGAACCCTGTGTTACCTATGGGGTAGGTGAAAGGTTGTTGCACCTTTAGTGGTGAATGCATGAAGGGAAAGAGAACAGCAAACAAGAGGCAAGAAGTGAGCACAGTGAAGAATTAGTGGGAGCAAGAATTAGAGAAGGAACAGGCAGACTTACAGCAGTCAGGCATCTTGAGAAACCTCAGGCAAGAGGGAAACCCCCTTAACTAATAGAAACGGCATTTAACCTCCAAACAAGTTTTAAAAAAGTGATAAAGGAGAAAAATAAACAGACCACGAGGAACAAACAAAGTATAAAACGACTTAGATTCACATGCATATCAGTAATTACATTGTTCTGGTTTAAAGGCAGACTCAGAACTGTATTTAAAAAAAACAAACAAACAACCTTTAAACCACCTACTCAAAATCTTAGGTAAGTTGCTGGACTCTGGAATGTGGGATGGAAGCCTGGGCTGTTTGGTGTGAGTATCAGAGAAAAGCACTCTAGAAGGCTGAGACGCTGTGGACATGTAACTTTGTGACCACTACACAATCTGCCAGCTGGTCGTATTGCTGGGCATTAAATCCCAGCCTTGAACCAGGCTTGAGACACGCTAGATCCTGCTTCCCACCTGAAACCCCTGGTTGTGTCCATGGACAGGTAACGACCCCAGTTAGGAAGCAATATCAGTCACGTGGCAGGAGGGGAACAACAAAACAGGCCACTTATCTGGAGGCCTGAGCAGCAAGTAGAGGTGTCCCTGCTTGCCCCCAGCACCCCCAACTTCCTCATTTCTTCCGTACACTGCACCCTTCAAGCTATAGGGAAAAAAGCTGCTTAGGACATGGTACACAAAGGTGGAATGACTGTCTTGCTATGGTCAAGGGCAAAGAACCTGTCCAGCTCCACCATCTGCACTGCCAACCCTGGACAAATTTATGAGCCTCAGTTACCTCATCAGTGAAATGGGCTGTGAAAACTAAGGGAGCCCATCATCATGAGCTAACATTCTCTGTACCTAATTCTCAGCATGACCTGTGAGGTTTGTTCTGTTACTATCCCCCTCCTGCAGATGGACAAACAAACAAACAACAGGTTCAAAGAGGTGGAGGCACCCTACTCCCACCCCAGGTTACATAGTAAGTGACAGAGCCAAAATTCAATCTCAGGTTTTCCTTTGACTTCAGGACCTTTACTCCCAAGCTTTTGGCGACAGATAGTGTCTTTACACACATGTAAATGCCCAATACCATGCTTGGCACAGAGGAGGCTCTGGTTGCCCTACCAGGCCCCCAAGATGAAAGCCTGACGGTGTAGCAGAACATGACCACTGAGGGAGTCAGACTCAGTGCCAGAGGGAGTGCCCAGAGACCAAGTGTGAGTAAACATACTCTTCATACTTAGACTGACCTGGGGTGATCTGCACCCACCCCAAGTCTCACGACCTTACTGAATGTAGGTGTTCCAGGCACCAGCAGCAGCCTATTTTCCAGGCTCAGCTCCTCCTACTCTCAGTACATACCAACTATTCCCAGTGCCCTCCCTTTCCTCATGGAACACCTTCCACCTAGAGGTTCTTCCTCAACAGCTCTGTGCACTGAATCTTACCCTTTTCCAGCCTTCTTTGCCTGCCTCAGCACTGCTTTTGCCCCTTCCCTGGGTCATCGTCACTGTTCCCTGGTTTATGGTGGTCTTCAGAGACAGGGCTGGGTGTCAGATCCCAGCACCACCACTTTCTAATTGGGTGACCTGCAAGTGCTTCTCTGTTTGCTCGTGTAGAAAACAAGGATAATAGTTCTTAATCTCATAGCTGCTGTGAGGATTACATGGGCTGATACCTGTAAAGCACATTTGGAAACAGTCAAAATGCTCCCTTTTAGTTTACCGTCCTCTACCAGACTACACTCTCATAAACTTGAACTAGAGCAGGGATAAGCGAACTTTTTCTGTAAGAGCCAGAAGGTAGACATTTCCAGCTTTGTGAGCCATATGGTCGCTGTCACAACTACTCAGCTCTGCCATCATGCAGCCAGACAAAGACAATGCATAAGTGGATGGGCAGGGCTGTGTTCCCATAAAACTTCATTGATAGACACTGAAATTTGAATTTCATATAATTTTTACATGTTATAAAATTATTTTGATCTTTCCAGTCATTAAAAAATGTAAAAACCATTCTTAGCTCATAGGCTATGCAAAAACAGGTGGCAGGCGCTGGGTTTGGTGCCTGGGCCACAGTTTGCTGACCACTGCATAAGACCAGCTTCTCTTCCTGCTTCTCCAGGCCCTCCCCTGTTTTCAGATCTTGGATATTACCCAGATTTGAGTCCAAGCCAACCGTAGGCTCCCAGTTCATGTGAGTGAAATTGATCTGACACCCAGACCTTGTGATTTCTTGGTCTACTGATCAATCCCTTGATCCATGCAGAGTGCAATGCCATGTCCCTCAACCAAGACTGTTCTAAGGAGCTCCAGAGTCCACACAAAGATGGGCCTAATGTGCTCTGAACAAGAACTGCTTACCCAGTTCATCCTCCTTTTGAAGGTAGGTACAGGACAGAGGGCAGGACAGAATACAGAGGGTTGGTAGGGAGCTGGCAGAAAACAGGCCTGGAGGAAATGGTGAATGAGGTCAGTGACCAAATCCTGTTATTGTCTGCCCTATTCTTTCTGGCTGCTTATCTACCTCTGCTTTCTGGCTTTCCTGAAAGGCTTGTACTTGAAGGCTCCAGGGATAAAGAGAGGGTGACAGTTTGGGCACTAAATTCAGAATTTCACAGTTCTCTTGAGTGCCTTTTGCAGGAAGGAGTAAATCTCAGTCATGTCCTCTCTTACACTGAGTGACAATGTCCAGCGTGCACCCTAAAGTTATCACAAGTCTTGCAAATCCCTCCTGGCCCTTGACGGAAGCAGGATGGTGGTTCCCCATTTTACATAACCATGCCTGGCCACTAAGAGCCTGGCAGTAGGGCCTCCAGAATTCTAGGCCTTACATACCCCACGTCTCCCCCTCATCTCCCACAGCCACCTGTCCATCCCTCCTCTGGACCTCTCCAAGAGTGGAGGGTGCCTCTTACACCACACTGAAAAGTTCTCATGTGGGGGGGGGGGGGCAGAATAATTAATGTCTGGATCTGCATCTCTTAATAAACTGCTGTGAAAGGAAATACCAAATATTTATCTAAGAGACTAATCCACCCTAACAAAACAAGTTTCTTTTGAGGACAAGGCAGTGTGGAGGTAGGCGCCTCTGAATAAAGCTTCTTTGTATCATTGTGGATGGGCACCACAGGAAAACAACCTATTTTTGCTTCAGGGAAAGTCTGCTGCCTTCCCTAACTCTGCAGCCCTAGCCTGCTGCCAGTCCATACCAGGCTGAGGCAGCACTGAAAAGAAAACTGCCTGATAACTGACACCCTCCTCTCTCCTTCAAAGGCATTCCTCTTCTGATTTTCTCCTCTTTCAAGTCAAAATCTGTGCCCCGTGCCTGCTGAAAGCTTTGGTGTCCATGTTAAGGAGCACAAACTCCATGAATGGTGGGGCCTATGTTAACATTTTTATTTTTAATTAATTTATTTTTGTTCCAGATGTTTTTCCTTTCCCCCCCACTGATTTCCCCCTCCTTCCCCCTCCTCGCCCTGTCCCCAGCTTTGTTGTCCATTGTTCATGCATACATGCATATAAGTTCTGTGGTTTATCTCTCCCCCACCACCCCGCTTCTGGGGATTATCAGTCTGTACCCCACCTCCACGTCTCTGGAACTACCCCATTCCTCAGACTGTTATGTTCATTATATTCCACAAATAAGTGAGATTGTATGATACTTGTCTTTCTCTGTTTGGCTTGTTTCACTTAGGATAATACTTTCCAGGTCCCTCCATGTCATCTCAAAGGATAAGAGATCTTTTTTTCTTACAGCTGCATAGTACTCCATTGTGTATAAAAATATGGAACGCTTCACGAATTTGCATGTCATCCTTGCGCAGGGGCCATGCTAATCCTCTGAATCGTTCCAATTTTAGTATATGTGCTGCCAAAGCAAGCACTGTGTTAACATTTTTAAAGCTTTTCTTTGGATGATGATAAACTGTTTGCTTATTCATGTAGTTTCCTCTGCCTGCAAAGTACGTACCTTTTGTTTATCTGAGGAATTCTTCAAAGCTCAGTCCAGATGGCCCCTCATCTGCACAGCTTTCCTTGCCCCCCAGAAGGGAGACAGCTTTCATTCATCATATCACTACTAGATGTCACACATGTGAGGAACCTTATGTACATCAACAACCCTATGAGATAGGTAATGTGTTATTTTCACTGAGGCTCACAGAGGTCAAGTCACTGCCAATGCCACATAGCTGTGAAGTGGCAGAGCCAAGATTCAAATCCTGAACTGTCTGACCATAGAGCCCAGGGCTCTATCACTGTGTCTTCCTCTGTGCCAGCTCCCTGTTCTGCACAAGTCTACTTTTGCATCATCTGTTCTATGGCTCTATCTCCCCATAGGAGACCAGGTTTCTTTACAAATAGGGTTCATGCAAAGGTAATTAATCTCTGTATTCCCAATATCTAGAATGGTGTTTGACACTTAGCAGCCACTAATTCATTCAGCAGGTGTTCTGAATGGCTACTGTGTGCTAAGAAGGACGTAATTCCTGTTCTCAAAGAGCTTAAGCATATAGAGTAGTACAAATACACATAAACAAATATCTACACCACAAGAGAAAACATGACATGACAGGTGAAGAGAAATAAATGTTCTGATGAGTTGGAGAAGGATGAGATGCTGGCCAGGTCTGAGAAGGTGGTGGCAATAGAGAAGGACCCTAGAGTATGCTCAGAACTTGGACATATAGGGCTGGGTGTGGGGGAAGCTTAATACACAAAGATAATTGTAAAATGTGGTTAATTAGCCAGCCATTCTATTTTATTTTGTTATTATTATTATTATTTTTTAATCCTTACCCAAGGATATTTTTTCCATTGATTCCCAGATAGATTGGGAAAGAAGGGAAAGAAAGGAAAAGAAACATCGATGAGAGATTGCCTCCCACACCACCCCAACTGGGGTCGGCAATTGAACCTGCAACTGAGGTACATGCCCTTGACCAGGAATCGAACCCATCTCTTTAGTCCATGGGCCAGCACTCTAACCACTGAGCTAAACCAGCCAGGGTATTTATTTATTTATTTATTTATTTTTCTTTATTGATTTTAAGAGAGAGGAAGGGAGAGGGAGATAGAAACACTGATGAGAGAGAATATCGACTGGCCGCCTCCTGCATGCCCCACACTGGGGATTGGACCCACAACCTAGGCATGTGCCCTGAACGGGAATCAAACCAGCAACCTCTTGGTGCATGGGTTGATGCTCAACCATTGAGCCACACCAGCTGGGCTAGCCATCCATTTTAAAATGATTACAGAAAATGTTTAATCATCGTTGGAAAATGTTTATATTTTAAGTGGTTATGAGAAAATAATAGGTTATAAAAAACAAATTGCCTAGGTAGTAAGAGTTGAACAATGTTAAAAAGATGCATGGAGCCCTGGCCAGTTTGGCTCAGCGGTTGAGCATCGGCCTGCGGACCAGAGAGTCCCAGGTTCGGTTCTGCTAGGGACACATACCACCAAAGGAAAAAAAAAAAAAGATGCATGGAAAACATACTGGAAGGAAATGCAATCGCAACTGTTTTAATGGGGCATCTCATCCCCTATATGCATGGAGCTTTTTTCTTTAATCCTCACCCAAGGATATGTTTTTACTTTTATTTATTTATTTTTTTTAGAGAGAGAAAAACCCTTCTGTTGCAGGACCAGTATTCCAACCAACTGAGCAATACCTTTTTTATTTTTATTTTTTAATAGTTGTTTTTTGAAAACAAAAAAATGTATGTGTATATATATGTAAATATATATATACATATATTTTTTTTATCTTCAGCCAAGGATATTTTTACATTTATCTTCAGACAGAGTGGGAGGGAGAGAGAGAGAAAGAGAGGAACATTTATGTGAGAGAGAGATCGATTGGTTGCCCCCTGCCCAACCCCAACCAGTGCCGGGGATGAACCACAACTGATGTACGTGTCCTTGGCTGGAATTAAAACAGGGACTCTGTGGTCTACAGCCCGACACTCTAACCACTGAGCCAAACTGGCCAGGGCATTTTTTGAATATTTTTATTGATATTTTGATAGAGAGGAAGGGAGAGGGAGAGAAAGAAACATAATGAGAGAGAAGCATTGATTGGCTGCCTCCTGAGGATCTCTCCAGGGGATCTAGCCTACAACCTGGGCATGTGCCCTTACTGGGAATCAAACTCATGACCCTTTGGTGCATGGGACAATGCTCAATCAACTGAGCCACACACCAGACTAAACATGGAGCTTTTTTTTTTTATCTTTCTCATAGCTGCCCTCAGTGACACCATGTCAAATCCCTTTTTCTTACTGCATAGCTTAATGATGGATGCCATAGATTCTCAGCTACTTTCAGGAATTAGAATAGTCTCCTTCTGGTATTTAAGAGTAATTTTAGTACTTGGCCAGGTAACTCAGTTGGTTAGTGAGTCGTCCTGATACACCGAGGTTGTGGATTCGATCCCCAGTCAGGGCATATACAAGAATCAACCAATGAGTGCATAAATAAATAGAACAACAAAAATTGATGCTTCTCTCTCTCCCTCTTTCTCCCTCTCTCTAAAAGAAGAGGGGAAAAAAGATTTGTTTTAAATGTTTACACAGATAAAAACATTCATTTTTAAAATGTTCACCTCAAGCTTCCTTTCAAAGCTCTTGCCTTGTCCGCTCCCAGGCAAGCTAGACCTGGCTGTGGCCGTAGAGGTTTGAGTGGAGAGTGGGAGAACATGATCTGTCCTCCACCACTTCCTCACCTGTTCCTCTCTGTGGCTGGGCTGGGGACAGGGCTGGGAGGTGCAATTCTTCCTACCTGACAGCCTTGGGGAAGATGCTGTTTCTCTGTTGATTAGCTGCTCCTCTTCATGATCAACTGGCTGTTGTCTTCTTCTGTGTGGCAGCATCTAAAAACTGGTTCTTGTACAAACCTTTCTGAATTTCACCTTTCTTATCTGTAAAATGGAAAGAAAGCAAACTTCCTTATGTGGGTGGTGTGAAAACAGAGTAAGGTAATATATGCGGAAACACTGTCAACTGTAAAGCACTATGGAAATGTTGTTGGCTATTATTATATTCTTTTGAGGAGCCTATTATTTGAAATGTCTACTATTATTTGAGGTGGATATCTCCACTTAGAGATCAAATAGGTATTTCACTTAATAAATAGAAACCGAACTGATGAATTTTCCTTCAGACCTACTCTCTCCCAGTCTTCCCCATCTTGTAAAAGGCACCTCCATTCTTCCAATGACACAGGCCAAGGCCTTTGGAGGTAGTCTTGGCTCTCTCCTTCTCTCAAACTCAACTTTCAATTCTTCAGGAGTTGGCTGTACTTTTAAACTGTATCTACCTCATCCAAACCACATCACCTCTGTCTAGAAACCATCCTCCAACTGGTCTTTCTTCTCCATCCTTGCCTCCCTGTGATCACTGCAGCCAGAGTGAGACTTTTCAAATGTAAGTTGGTAAATTTTACTTTAGCTCCAAACCTTCCAGTGGCTTTCCATCTGACTCAAAGTGAATTGAAAGCCCTTGCCCAGGTGGACAAGGTCCCATATGATCTGGGTTCCCTCTCTGACCTTGCTCTTACCATTCTCTCCCTCATGCACCCAGCTCCAGCCACATTGGTCTCCTCCCTGTTACTCTTACAAGCCAAGCATGCTCTTACCTCAGGGCCTGTGCACTTGGCCAGGGGTGGAGAATGTCTGGCCCACAGGCTTTTTAAGGCTCACAAAATCAATACCAGCTAACATCACACACCTTACCAAATTAGCCTGACCAAATATAGCAGGCTAATTTTTACTTTGATAATTTTGTATGGCCTGTGAATGATGTTATATCTAAATGGCCCTTGGCAGAAAAAAGGTTCCCCACCCCTCCTGTCTGGAATACCCTTTCTTTTTTCTTAAATCTTCACCTGAGGATATTTTTCCATTTATTTTCAGATAGAGTAGGGGGGGGGGGGGAGAGAGAGAGAGAGAGAGAGAGATCAATGCGAGAGACACATCGATTAGTTGCCTCCCACACAACATTGACTGGGGCCAGGGACCAAACCATAACCAAGGTACGTGCCCTTGACGGGAATCAAACCCATGACTCTTTGGTCTGAGGCCGATGCTCTAACTGCTGAGCCAAATCAGCCAGGGCTGGAATACCTTTCTGCAGATAGTCACAGGGCTTGCTCCTTCACCTTGACAGAGCTGTCTTCCATGGCCACCAAATCTAAAACAATGCTCAGTGCCTTTTCCTTGGTTTTCTTCCTTCTTAGTACTTAGCACCCCTAACAGATTATATATTTGTTTATGGTCTTCCTTCCCCCATTAGAATGCAGGACTTTGACTATTTCCACATCCCCAATACCCAGTACAGAAATGAATTCCTGGCCGGCTGGTGTAGCTCAGTGGTTGAGTGTTGACTCATTCACCAAGAGGTCACCAGTTAGATTTCCAGCCAGGGCACATGCCTAGATTGTGGGCCCAATCCCAAGTGTGGGGCATGCAGGAGGCGGCCAATCGATGCTCTCTTTCATTGATGTTTCTATCTTTCTCTCCCTCTCACTTCCTCTCTCTAAAATCAGTAAAAGAAAAAAAAAACTTTTTAAAAAAGAAGTGAATTCCTTCCAAACATTCCTTTCGAATGCTTGGGGTTCTGGAGTGGGCTCCCTCCCTTGTGTACTGGGAAAAGTCATATACTTACCTCTAAGTCCTGAAGGGGAGCACAGGCCTCATTTCCTTATTCAACTTTAAGTGGAAATACACTAGCACATGGGGTATGGGATTTGAAAGAAGGTGAAGGAATCTTCCCTTAATGTTTTACCCTCTTTAACCAGATGTCTGCAGCTGGCTGGAGTCTGGCAAGATTCATTATGCCATAGCCCATTTTCTGGAAAGTTGTGTTGTGGAAAAGACAAATATGCATAAACAACTAGAAATGTGATCTAGGGGGTGGGTAGGTATAGGTAATTTATTGCATTTACAGAGGGTGGAGGGAGAAGGTCCCAACTCTACAGAGTTGTTACTGGTTTTAAGAGTTGGGAGGTGGACCCTGACCAATGTGGCTTAGTTGGTTGAGCATCGTCCCCTGCACTGAAAGGTCACTGGTTCAATTTCTGGTCAAGGCACATACCAACATTGTGGGTTCAATCCCTGGTTGGGGTGCATACAGGAAACAACTAATCGATGTTTCTCTCTCATATTGATGTTCCCCCCCCCCAAAATCAATAAAAATGTATTTTAAAAAAAGAATTGGAAAGTGGGATCATGTACATTACATAGGACCATGACCTCTGGGGACATTCCCATCTAACTTCACCACCCTCCTTGCCTCAACTTTTACAGGAGGCCAAAATAAAACTGTGTAGCTAGCCACTGTTTGCATGTCTGTATGGGGACTGTTTGACCCCAGGCTGCTTTGTCTTAAGAGAAGACGATGCCCATCTCTATTCTCAAAATAGGGTCTGATCCCCACATAATGACTAGCTCATTATGGGCCCATGTGGTCATGATACTCATGGTCTTCCAGTGATGCAAGCCCCAACCCTGCCCTTCTGACTTGAGTTGGCAGTGAGCCATCTTATACCCTGCCCCTTACACAGAAAGCTGCACTTCCCAGAACTGTTCTCAACAAGCTGCTCTCTTCTTCTTTAGACCTGCCTGAACTGGCTAGGGTACTCCACAACAATGTTCTATTTTCCCTTGGCAGAACTTGGCTCTGGCTCCAGTCCTTTGCCACCCGATGCACCTATAGGTAACTTCCCAGAAGGGACCAGCAGGGGGAGCCAGAAAAATTCAGATTCTTCGGCTAGGGTCAAGGATTCTTCGGCTACTACTTCTTTAAAGGCTCTGGTAATTTTCTCCTCATTTAAGATACACAGAACCGAGTGCACAGCTGATGTGAGGTTCAGGTGAGTGGAAAGCCAAATGGAATTCCTCCATTCAGTCACCAACAACATTTATTAAGCATCAAAATACATGCCAGGCTAGACACTGCATATAAAGAAGACTATTAAAATCCCTACCTGCCCGGCCGGTGTGGCTCAGCAGTTGAGTGTCGACCCATGCACCACGAGGTCACTGGTTCAATTCCCGGTCAGGACACATGCCCAAGTTGTGGGCCAAATCCCCAGTAGGGGGCATGCAGAAGGTGGCCTATTGATGTTCTCTCTCATTGATGTTTCTCTCTCTCTCTCCCTCTCCCTTCTTCTCTCTCTAAAAATCAATAAAGAAAAAAAAAAGTAAAGTCCCTAATTCATACATTAGAGCTAATGAACTGGGAGAATTGGTGAGAGTTTCAAATAGGAATTTGAAACAAAGTGAAGGTGTATGACAAGTTCATGGGACTCTGGAAGTGGGAGAGACAAGAGAATAGAGTTTGAGGCCAGAAAATACCTGTGATTCTACCACTACAAAACACTACCAGAGAATGAACATTGGGCTCAATAAAACTGCTAAAAGCAATCTAAATGAGGGCATACACCCCAGTATCTAAGGGAAATAGCTTCTAGAACAAGTGAAACTGAAAACTTGGTCAATATACTGACTTTTTTTGTTTTGTTTTGTTAATCCTCACCCGAGAATATTTTTTCCCATTGATTTTTTTTTTTTTTTTTTTTTTTTTTTTAGAGAGAGTTGAAGGGAGGGAAGGAGTGGGGAGAGATAGAGAAACATCAATGTGAGAGAGACACATAGACTGGCTGCCTCCCTCATGCACCCCAACCAGGGCCGGGAACCGAACCCACAACCCAGGTACGTGCCCTTGACCAGGAATCAAACCCACAACCCCTTGGTCCATGGACTGATGCTCTAACCACTGAGCAAAACCTGCCAAAGCTTAATATACTGACTTTGGTTCAAAATAATCCAATGGGGAGAGGAATTGAATGGGGATATAGATGAAACAAGAATGGCCATAGGTTGATTATTCCAAAAGCTGGGTGACAGGTACCTGGTAATTCATTATGTCATTCTCTATATTTCTGCATATGTTTGAAAATTCCCATAGGAAAAACATATATATATATATACAGTCGTCTCTAGCCACTTTGCTCTTCGACTTTTGTGGCTTCACTCTATCACGGTTTTTTCAAATACCATACTACACTTTTTTGTTTGTTTGTTTCCAGAGTTTGGCTTTATTTTGCAGTACAGAAATCACCTGGAGCCATTTTGAGGCAGACATCATTGATGGAGAGGCTCTGTCAAATCAATACTGCATTGCAACTTGGTCCATTGGAAAAAGCCATGCCTGGGATACAATAAAAGCATCTACATTTACCTGCTTTATGATAGGTTTCTTTCCCCTTTGCTGTCATCAGTTAGGTTAAAATACCACACACAGACTTCCTCCAAAATGACTCTTGAAGTCTTGAATTTAGTTAGAATTTTAGGCCCACATAAACCAAATGTGTGGCGAGGATATATGGGCACTATAATACTTGACAGGACCAAAATACAAAGCTATAGGAAAAACTTCAGTATGCTGTCCCAAATTATGGAATATTTGATTTCAAATCTTAATATCAAGAGGACAGATGACACACAAATTGTACTGATCCAGCTCTTGAGCAGCAGTAGCACATAACTGCAAAGGCTACACTAATTAAAAGATACAAATACTCGCCCTGGCCGGTTTGGCTCAGCGGTTAGAACGTCGGCCTGCGGTCCGGAGAGACCTGGGTTCGGTTCCCGCTAAGGGCATGTACCTCAGTTGCAGTTTGTCCCCGGCCCTGGTTGGTCGTGCGGGTGGCAGCCACTCGATGTGTCCCTTTCACATCGATGTTTCCCTCTCTCTCTCTTCCTCTCTCTCCCTCCCACTCTGTCTGTGCAAAAAATGGAAAAATGTCCTCGAATGAGGATAAAAAAAAAATACAAATACTGTATCAGGATCTCTGTATCAGTATCAAAATGTTTTTTTTTAAAACTTACTCTTCACTAGAAAAAAGCCAGCATTGGTT